GTAGTGCCGCCCCTCGCCCCCCGGAAGCCTCTGGAAGAGCCAGAGTTCACCAGTTTCTTAGAGGGAACCGGCTGCAAGCCCTGCCAGTCAGCAGTGCGTAATCACACCGGGCTTTGCCTAATTACAGGGTTGAGAGCCGGTCTGGAGGCAAAGAGATATACTTAACTATGTCCCTGGGAAGGCCCAACACTTGGATGGTTTGTAAGCCTGGGAGATACAAATATTCTCTACCTCCACCCAGCCCAAGCTCACCACGCCGAGACACTGGAAGACAAGTCTGGGGACTGCAGCTGGGCTGGCAGGGCACAAGCTCTCCAGGAGCACTTTTCTGTGTTCTTGGGGGGGGGGGGGGAGGGACAGGAGTTCCCCCCATGCTGGTCAGCAGGAGGCCGAAGGCCTCTGAGAAGGCCTTGCCTGGGCCCGCAGCCAGGACATCTTCCCTCCTCCCAGAGCTCTCTCACTGGGGGCCTGGGGCCCTTGGCCACCCGAGGGGGTAAAATCAATCTCCATCCCGTGCTAATGAATAAAAAGTCCCCTTTATTTCACTGCTGTTTTTGGTTCATTAAATTTTCCACAGATTTGCAGAGAAGAAAACATAATCAATAAACCCTGACAAAAGTGAACGTGTGAAAAAGGCCAGAGAATGGAAAAGCAAGATAAAAGTGATAGCGGATCACAGATTTCCAGGCAGATGACTAGCTGAGCAGCTCAATCTCAATGGGCCATCCCAGCTCCTAGGCCTGTCTCTCATTTGCTTCAACTCTTCATTCAAGACAATAGTAAAGGCACTAAAACTGGTTTTCTTATGCTAATGCTGAAACCCAGCACTCAGTTAAAACACACTCGGTTTGAAACCTGCCTGGTTTTTTTTTCTTTTTAACATACTGTGCAGGAGCGCGCGCGCGCGCGCGCACACACACACACACACACACACACACACACACACACACAAACTTGTTTCCACTTAAACCCAAATTTCAACAGTTTAACATGTATTCTTTAGCCACGTCTTACATGCATTATTTTTCTCCTCTAGTTTTTTTTTTTTTTTTTTGAGAAACCAGAAGTGAAAGCTAAACAGGAATGTTAAGGATTCTTTTAGTGATTGAAGAATTGGAGGAAAATTAGACACTAAGCACTCATCAAGGATGCGGTCATTATCTGTGTTTTCTCAAAGTTTTGAATGCAGTTACGCACTCTTATGATCCCTCTGTCACCATCAAAATCTTTTTTTAAAAAGTGGGGGGTCATTTTGTATAATCCTTAGTAGTCCTCAGAAAAACCTCAGATTAATTTTAAAGAAAAGGACAAATTCTGAATCTGATGTTATATATCTATTCACACAGAAAGTGTCAAAGGTATCTTCATCAATACTATCAATTGCTTGTGTGTGTGTCCTTTTCTCTCTCTTCTGTTCTTAAACAAACCTTAGGAAACAGTTACAGTCCCCCATCCCCATATTCTTCAAAAGTGAAAAAATAAATAAAACACAAAAAAGTTGTGAGCTGAAATTGCTGGCTGTTAATGCAACCACCTATTCTGCCTGTCCGAATTTTATGGAATCTGAGCATACTGTTTCTTTCTTTGGCATTCTCCACGTGTTTCATTTGTCCACGTCTCTGACACTTACTGAAAAGAAGAAAGGAAGAAACTGCTTCCCAGGGGCTCCTTTCAAAGAACCCTGGCCCAGTGGGAACAGCTGCAGCTGTCCAGGCCCACCTGGCCTGGCCACCCCTAATGCACTGGGAAACAGACCCTGGCACAGGTAGACTCCCATCCCCCAGTTTCAAGAAGCAGAGCTGCTTGGCCCTGCGTCTGGAACACCAGGCACAGGAAAGACAGCTTGATGTACCCACATTCTCAGGAAGGGCCAGCTGGTCTGCCCAGAGACAAGGATGTAGAACTCTGGTTTTGAGATTTAACAAGCCAGCTGGGTGTGAGGGAGTAACACCAGTTTCCACAGTGCACACGACACACTCCTGGTCTCACTTAAAAAGAATTGTGTCTGGACACTCAAGCTTTCCCCTAGGGTGCCCAAAAGGGGCCTTGATGGAAGAAGGGTGTTTATTAGGCAAATATCCAATTTTGTCTGCCTACTTGCGGAATCCCCTGGTTTGCTAATCCAGCCCTGGGGCCTGCACTGTGTACAGGGCACTTGTGGGAGTACAAAAAGCGTGAAGTATTTGTGTATTTTTCAGTCTGAAGTGCAAACAAGCCAGCTACAGTACACAGCTCCCAAGACCCTCACAGCCAGGCAATGAGCCGATGACCGGTAGCTCTGTGGCCCCTCTTCTGGCCAGGCAACTCAAAGGATTTACACTCTGCCTGAGGCTTCCCCAGGAGAAACACCCTGAGAAAAATAAAAGGACTCACCCAATCTCACACATGAGGAGGGTGGCTGAGACTAGGGTTCCCTCCAAGGCCTGGGCTTGTAAGTTTGGGAGCAACCTGGAAGTCCTCACTCGACAAGTGTGAACCCTGTACAAATTCCTATCTCATCAATTCCCAGGAGGGATAAAAGAAGCTTAACAATCCCACCTTATTCCCGAAGAGCCAGCTCCGGTTTGGGAGGGGCTTTCTCCCTGGCATCCTCATTCTCACCAGTTGAAACTGCCAACAGACCATGCTGACCACAGTCTCAGACACAAGATCAAGAGGAGGCTGGGTCACCTGAGGGCCACCTCCTGGGCAGGTAGGCTTCTCCAAATGCAGGATCTTCACTGAATTAATTTAAATCCTCCTAGAATCAGGAAACAGCCTCCTGAAATTGGCATAGGTCTCAAAACAGAGGGGAAATACAAAACCACGCTAAATCTTCCAAAATATAATTAACTTTCAAATTCCTCAGACAAGTGACAACTTTCCATATGGCTGGGTTTGAAAATCTGTACACCTCCTGGAACTCTCAGAAGAGAAGCCACAAGTCAAGAAAGCTGAAGAAAGAAAGAGGCATTAAGAAAGAGGCATCTTGGGGGGGTGGGGGTCGGGGGGGAGGACATACAAGGCCTAGATTCTACACTATAGAATTACTGCCCCAGGACAGATCAGAAGTAGAGAGCAGGCAAAGCCAGGGTGCTCTGGCCTCTCCTGTCCTAGGAACAGCAGCCCAGATAGCCACAAATGTTTTTACTCAGACTGGGTAACTGCAGAGCGGATCCCCAAACCAGGGTGTCTAGCCCTCAGACACACAGAAGCCAGCCCAGCGAGGGAAACTGGCAGCCAAGGTAAGGAAATGGGCGGGGAAGGGGGGGGGGTCAACGAAGGAGGTGGCCAGAACAAACAGATCGCATCAGGAAGACTGTGACAAGCCCGCCTATTCCCCCTGCTATCCCCCCGCTGTATATTTTGGATTTCACAGTTTATTTACTTTACTTTTTGGCACTGAGCCCCCTGAGCATGCCAATACAATATTTGTTTAAACACTATTTTATGCCGCTTGCGAGGGAAACGTTTACTTTCAAATTCTCCAACATCCCCCAGAGCCTCGTCTGCAAACAGCGAACGAGCGTTTTACAACTGCTCCCTTTATCTGTAGCTGTTGGGATTAAACCTTCACACCGCTCGGCAAGGGCGGCAGGGTGGGGGCCCAGCACAGCTCGGCGGCCACGGAGCAGCAGAGCCCGAGCCAAGGCCAGGAACGGGAACGGAGAGAGGAGGGATGCCCAGGCTGGGGGTCTGTGGGCCTCGTGTAATGCCCCCAGCGCGCGGGGCGGGACTCTGGGGAGAGGTCTACTTTTCCAGCTGGGATCAACTTTGGGAGCCACACAATGACACAAAAGAGAGAGGGCGGAGGGGAGCAGCACCCTGGGGGATGCTCCATGCCCGGGAGCGCCCTGGCGGCCCGTCGCCCACGGCGAGGCGCGCGCGACGGCTCCATCCTCAGCTCCCCGCGCTCTACAAAAGTTGGGTTTCCTAGGAAATGACAGTAGTGAGGGCCAGGCTTGCAAAGACGCCGAGTGGAGTGGACTTCCCGCTCCCCGGCGAGGCGGGCGCGCTCGCACTCACGCACGCCAGCACACGCGCCCTTCCCCCATCCCGCCTGCACCCCCCCACACACACCATCCCCCCGCCCGCCCCGCGTCCGGGGTAAAACGCTCCCCTCTCTAAACCCTTAATAGGATTGGCGCCCAACTCTCTCCGCGCCTCTCCCCATCCATCACACACAGATCAAGTTGCAGTAGTGGATTTTTCAAATTCCTCAGCAAATATACTTGTTGAGAGACTGTCGGGGCTGGGGTGGGGAGAAGCGGCGTCGGGGGCGGGAATCCAAGCGAGGGGTGCGGAACCGGTACCCGGCGAAAGGATTACGTGCGGATCCCTTCGGGAAGTCAAGCGGATCTCGGGGCCGAGGGCAAAAGAGAAGGCAGAAAGAGGCCCGAAAGGAGGCCGGAGGGGAGAGCCCCGCCGAGGGGGAGGGGGCAACAGGGAGGGAGGTAAGGGGGAGGAAGGGGCGAGGAAGAAAGAAAGGCAGGCTCCGGGACGCGCAGCGTGGAGAAGTGGAGTTAGAAGTTCGCCAGGGGCTGGCTGCAGCCCTCCGTACACAGCACGCTCCCGCACGCAGCACCCTCCCGCACACACGCTTCCAGTACCCACCTTCGAGAGCTTCGGGGCATCCCAGCCCCTACTCTCTGCAAAAATCAGCCCCCTGACCCGTGTGCGGTGCAACTGGCCGTAGGCCGGCCTGGCTGTGCACTCCAAGAAGGAAGACGCTTTCCTCCAGGTAGGTACGGTACGGAGGTGCAAAATCGACCCCCGGCCACGAGTTGCTAGCCCCAAGATCTCCCCCTAGCTCCTCGGCCTGCTGGGCCACAGCGACGCGGGCCGCCCCCTCCAGTTTCCAGTTCCCGCAGGTCTGATGTCCAGACCCCGAGCCCCGGAGCGGGTACCCGGCCGAGCGACCCTCTGAAGACCGAGCAGCATCCCAGTCGGCCTGGGCTCCGCCGGGACAGAAAGCGCTTCGCAACGACAAGCAAGCAAAAAGAAGGCCGATGCAACTTTACCGAGGAGACAAAAGTTTGCCTCTAGCACGCAGGTGGCCTCTTGGGCGCCGGGCAGAAGTTGCAGGCCACCATCCCAACTTGGCTTGCGGGGTGACCCGCCGCGGGCTGCCGTGTGCCCAGGCTCCAGCCGGCCAGGGCGGGGCGGGCCGGGCCAGGCAGGGGAGGGGAGAGGAGGGAACCGAGGCAGGCGGGGCCCCGCAGCCCCTACGAACGCCGAGCGGGCTACTCCGGGAGGCTTGGGCGCACCGCGCTGCCCGAGATCCTTCCCCGGGCTCCTCCTCGCCTTCCTCTGCGTCCGCTGTCGTCGTCGCCGCCGCCGCCGCCGCCGCCGTCGCCTCCCGCTCCTCCTCGAAGTCTCATTGATGGGAGTTTGAAAAAAAAGTCCGCGGAGCCGTGCTGCCTCGGCTGGCGAGCGCCGGCACTCCTGCAATCCATCAGCGCCGCCCGGACGGCGCAGCGCCCCCGCGCGCTCGGCTTCGGCACACCCCCGCGCGGCGCCCCCGCTGGCCCGCCCCGCCGCGCACACCCCGCCCCCGGGGATGGGGAGGGGGGACCCAGACGCCACCCGGAGGAAGGAAGGGGGCTGCCGCGTAGTCTCCCCCTCCGCTGTACCGAGGAAAGAAAGCACCACCACGGGAAAGTTCGAGAGGGTAGCGGGAGAGCGCGCCAGTCTCTAACACTTCTTTTAAGGCGCGGGGATGGGGAGGGAGGGGAAGGCGTTTGGGGCGGGGGGGGGGGGCTGCGGAGGGAGGTGTTGCTAACTCAAGTCAGATGAGCTTCGGAGCTGAGGCTCTGGGACTGCTCTGTTTTCAATCTCCAAAATCCCCTTACGCTCCCCCCCCCCCCCACCATCTCCATCGGGAGGTGTCCGGGTCGCAGTTCCCAGGGCACTCGCTCTTGGGGCGCCGAGACGAAAGCCCGCGATGCTCAAAGGGGCCCACGCGGACCCTCTTCCCGCGGGTAGCTGGCGCAGGTGCCCGGTGTCCTGCTGCGCCCCCCTCCCCCAGCCACGACTCGAGCCTGTCGCCACGTGAGCGTATGTTGGCGAGAAGCGACACAGTCTTCCAGGCTTGATGCACATGTTTTGTATCCAGGGTTTCTTTTTGTTTTGTGTCTTTTTAGAGACTCCACTGGAGCTGCTGCAGCCAGATGGAAGTAATCAGAACCCAACAACAACACAGGGAGAAGGACGAAGAACACTCGGAGTTTTCCAGCCAAAGTGTGGATGGGGCTGTGTGTGAGCAAACTTGCCGAAGGAGACAGCGGGAGCCCTGGGCCCTCCGGCCAGGGCCAGGCACAATACAAAGCTGAACAGCCCGATTTGGAGGAACGTAGGGATAGCTGGTTGATGTGCTTTCCACTCCACAGGGCCCACCCCACCAACCTCCACCGGGCTAAGGATTACACTGCGAGAGTTCTTCCTGAGGAAATTTTTAATAGTTCACCCTAACTTTTTGCAGAAGCCATCCCTGTGGGCCAGGAGACGTGTTCTATTTCCTTTGGATTATTTAAATTTTCACACCTGTCAGGTAGGATCGTCTTCCCTTTTTGCAGGTGAGAAGACAGAGGAACTTGTCCAAGGCCAGAGCACTGTACCTTCCCCTTCCCACCCTTGAGTTTCAGTAAGCATACTGTTAGTTCAGTTAAATAAACCAGCCCTGTTTTAAAGAGTGGGTGCCCCTCCCTTCAGCCTCTCTTCCGGTGTGGAGTGCAGGGAAACCAAATTCTCCAGGCTCAAATCCCCTATCTCTGTAAGACTGGGACCTTCACAGGCTCATCAGACCTGGTTGCTTTTTGACCAGTTACTTTAACCCCTTAACATTTGTTTATTTCTTTCTGCTGGGAATAGAACCCAAGGCGTTGCACACTAAGTGCATACTCTACCACTGGGCTATCTTAGCCTCTGTTTTTTTCCCCCTTTTTAACTAAGGGGGAAACAGTCTGAACTCCCTCCACCAGTCTTTATTACTCTCATTCTCTTCCCTTGCAATTCATTCATATGAGAGAAATCAACATTTTCTACTTGACCTAGAAAATATTAGAACAATTTGATGTGAATTTTGTTTTTCTCAAGTTGTCTCTCCAGATTTGGGGGGAGGGGGGATTGCAGGGGGCAATACTACCCAGCAGCATTTTCAAAAAGCAAACTGTGCAAAAGCCAATATATTAAAAGGAAGAATAGGCTGAAAGGGACTCTTTCTTTAAATATGACAGGATTCATGTTCCTCCACCATTCCTCCGTGCTATTTGTTTAAATTCCTGCTGAGCTTTCAGAACACAGACTGGAAGGAGACAGAAAAAGTAAACCCTCTCTCCTCCTTGGCCGTGTTTTAATGATCCTATTTGTATCAACCCCATGAAATAGGAGGAATCATTTCTCATGGCTAGAATATTAGCAGCATCAGCTGATTACTTCATTATGAGCTTGTCTCTGTTGGTTTCCTTGTGTTGTAAAGTTTGTGAAAAAAGTTTAAACAAATCAACGTTTGCGAATATTTCTTTTCCGTTCTTTTTTTTCTCTCAGTTTTTCTTCTCAGACCAGCTCAACTCCTGCTGGAATCCAGGCACTCACAAAACCTCCCCAGCTTATTTTGGCAAGAAGATGGCTGTGGAGGTGGAGATGGAATGTTTTGAGTTTGAGAAGACTTCTCACACACATGCCTTACTCTCTAGATGGTCAGAAGTTGGAGCATTGAAAAAGTAAGGGAAGGTTTTCAAGGTAGGCACAGTGGTATGGCAAGGAATCCTTTGTGGTCACTGGGACACCAAGTCCTCCTTTCAGATCTGGAACTAAATGTATGACCTTGCACAAGTTCAAGAGCATTTGATCAGCAGCTTCCTAGGTGCCAGGGACTGTGCTAAGTGGCTTCACACAACAATAATCCTTCCCTTCCTGGAGGTTATATTATGTTCATAACTAGAAATACATATATAATCACAAACTTGGAAAAAAGGTAAGGGAACTTTTTGAGTCCTCACATGGCACAAGCAGCAAATAAACCGCCTTGGATGGTTTTTAATAAGGGTACTAATCCCATTCTCAAGAGTTCCAACTCCTGACCTCATGATCTCTCAGACAGCCCACTTTTTAAGTCTGCTGCCTTGAGGGGTAAATTTCAGGGGGATTGGGAAGGAGGAGAAATAACCACATAGATTATAAAAGTGAGAAACGCAACCCCTACCCTCAAGGAACCTATGGTAACATTAGGAATTATATACACATTTGGATACCACTGAAGGGCAGATTAATGCACTGATTGTGAAGTGGGCAGAATAGCCATTTCCACCTGAATAAGGTAGATGGTAACTATCCATCATCACAGAAGAAAGTTAGGGAGAGTATCTGTACAAAAAATAGGACCCATCCCCAAAATAGATTGTCTGCTACTCTTTTGGGGCCCTCCACCCCATGCCCACCTCACCTTGAAATACTTTGATAGACTAAACCCCATCCCACCCAGGTATCCTGCCACTGAGTCTACAGTTACTCCTATGACTTAAAGCTGTCTGTTATTGCAGTGCAGAGACAATGGAAGAAGGAACAAGGAACATTCCTAGGGTATTACCCCTTACCAACATGAGTATACTTAACAGGTATTTTCCCAAAGAGTGAGCCTATATGGAAGAAACACAAGGATTTTATGAGGAGGCAGGAAACAGCTACGAAGGGATAAGTACACAGAAGGAGGGTACCAGCCAAGCCAAACACCAACAAGAAATCTTTTTCTATGTGTGTATGTGCTGGTACTGGCACTTGAACTCAGAACTTTGTACTCTTGTTTGTCTTTTCTGCTCAAGGCTGGCACTCTACCACTTGAGTCATAGCTGTATTCCCAAGTTTTTACTGGTTAATTAGAGGTAAGAGTCTCTTGAACTTGTCTGCCTGGTCTGGCTTTGAACCACAGACTTTAAATCTCAGCCTCTTGAGTAGCTTGGATTACAGATGTGAGCCACCAGTACCTAGCTAAGAAATTATTAATTTGTAACCCAAACCTAGACAGTTTAGTAGAGTAAGTCAATGCAGAGTCACCCTAGGATCTGCACAAAATTGAAAGGAGTTGGGAATACCTCCCATGAAAACAACCCATGAGCCCCCACCCCTTCCTCTTCAGGACTACCCTAGAGGACATGGCTGAGAGCATCAAGTGCAGAAAGGACTGGAACTCTTAGTTAATAGATTGACTCTTGTATCATGCATTTATTCCTGTCATTCTTGTCGAGCTCCTGCTATGTGCTATGCACCTTAGAGATAAGCTAAATGAATGTGGTCATTGCCCATCATCCACTTTGGCCCCCTGGCTGGACACACTTGCCCTGATCCCCCATCATCCCAGAGTGGTAGGTCCATGAGAGTAGATTAGAAAAGAAAGGGGGTGGAAAGGAAAACCAGGAGCATCAATGTGATCCTGAGGAGAGGAGGTAGAGGAGAAGCAGCAAAGTCAGTTGGACATAGAAAACTCATGGCAGGAATGTCCATTAAGTCTCTTGTTCTGTCATGGAACTAGCTCTGCCAAGACTGGCTTGCTAATTTTATTGACTTATTTGTTTGTTTATTGTCAGTACTGGAACCTGAATTCAAGACTTGAGCACTATCCTCTAGTTTTTCCACTCAAGGCTGGAACTCTATCACTTGAGAGACACATATGCACTTTTTACTTTTTGCTGGTTAATTGGAATCTCACCAACATTCCTGCCTGAGATAGCTTTGAATCACAAGCCTCAGATCTCAGCCTCCTGAGTAGATAGGATTACAGAGGTGAGCCACCGATGGCCAGCCAAGAACTGGCTTCTTAAATGAAAAGACAGTATCACCTTATAGTCACTACAGTTTCCAAAGGAGAACCACTTCCTGCCCACAGCAGTATACAAGGTTTCTCAGGAATCAGGCACATTCAGCTTGCCTAGCATGCGTAACAGCTACAATAACTCTCTTAGCCATAGAGAGTCAGAGTGGGAGATGGCCAGTCCTGGCAAATCCAATTTCTTGGGTTTTATCTGCTCTATTCATTGTCTCCTGCAGAAGGAAGATAATGTGGAACTCACTAAAGGACTTCATTGAAATCAAATTGTGTGTGTGTGTGTGCATGTGTATGCGTACATGTTTGTGTGCCTGTGCTGGTATTGGCTCTTGAACCCAAGGTCTGGGTGCTCTCCTTTAGCTTTTTTGCTCAAGACTAGCAACTCTATCACTTGAGCCACAGCTCCACTTCTCCACTGCTGGCTTTTCAGTGATAAGAGTCTCTCAAGTTTATCTGCCCTGGCTGGCTTTGAATTGGGATCCTCAGGTCTCAGCCTCCT